GCCAGACAGACAGACAGAGACAGACCGCAATCCCTTCTCCTCCATTCTCCTCTCGGGATCTTGGGCACGCATGCGCATATGCCTGGCGTGAGTTTTAAGCCACCGGGTCCGGGACGTGAACCGCGGTCAACTATGTGGGAGTCCAGCGACGTAGCCATTACACTAACTGCTGGTCCTGCCCTACAGTTTTGAGATCACCGACACAGGGAGCGTTAGTCTTGGTGGAATTTCAGTTTCATGAATTGAGACTGAGTATCTAATAAGTAGCAGAGAGGACACAGCTATGCATACAAATATTCAGGTGGTTAGCAATAAGTGAAAGTGTATAAAAAATACATTCCGCATTGGGCACAGAGCCAATAGGAAACCTGAAGGTTAGATTCTCCAATTCTTATAGGGGACCAGAGTTATGCTTAAATCCTAACTCCCAAGTTAATTGGTATTAAGGGTCTTTGGAGAAGATGATTAGTTCAGGAGGGCAGCACCCTCACAAATGGGATTAGAGCCTTCATGATACAGACCCAAAGAGGCCCAGTCACCTTTTCTGCAAAGGCACAATGAAAGGGTGCCATGAGTGAGCCAGAGAATAGGCACTTACCAGGCACCTAATCCATCTGTGATTGATTTAGGAATTCCCAGATTCCAGAGCTATGAGAAATACATACTTGTTTCTTATAAACTATCCAAGTCTCTAGTGTTTTAATATAGCTGCTGGAACAGACTAAGCCAGGAATAGGAGTTGCTCCCACCTGCAAGTCTGTAATTCTTACGATTTACAAGAGAATTACCAGAGTACACAAAAAAGATAAAAATAAAAACAAACAAGCAAACAAACAATTATCTTAGCTAGCTCTATCTTTTTTTTTCAATTTATTTATTTGCGTTCATTCACTGTACATCATTACAGCATACAAAATGAGATTTTCCATCCAGAGTATACTGTATATTGTCTCAATCAAGCACATCAACAAACATGTTATTGTCAGCAAATGATCTTCCATTCTTGTTTTCTGTATGTTTTGCTTTTTTCCCCCATCTTTGCTTTATCTTACAAAACTAGAGAGAATGTCAAGGAACATCCAAAAGAAATGTATAAAAGGAATTACCAAACATCAGAAAAAAATGAAAAGAAACAAGAAAATTAACCTCAGTGTTATCCTTTAGACAACATCAATAATATTTTTAAAAATTTCTGTTAGACTGAGGCATGTATATAAAATTATATAGACAGAGAGTGAGGAAAGAAAACAATTACCAGTAAATATCAGGAATGAAAGATGTACATTGTAGAAGACTCATCCACTATTAGAAAGATAATGAGGGAAAACTATAAACAACTTTATGCCTATAAATTTGTAATTGTAAATAAAAAAGAACAAATTTCTTGAAAAACAAACACAAAACTCACTCAAGGAGAAACAGATAACATGATTTATTCTATGTATTCATATATTTAAAAAATTAAATGTATGATTAAATTCTTCCCACAAAGAAAACTCAATGCCCAGATGGTTTTGCCTTTGAGTTCTACCAAACATTTAAGTAAAAATTGAACCAATACTACAAATCTCTTCAAGAAAATCTAAAAAGTAGGAAAATTACTCAGCAAACTCTATGAAAGTAACATTTTCCTGATATCAAAACCAGAGAGACACATGACAAAAACAAAACAAAATAATGAACAAAAAAAAGTAGAGATTTATGTTCTTCATAAACGTAGTTACCAAATCTCTAACTAAATTTTAGCAAATTGAGTCAATGGCATAGAAGAAAGATCATTTATCTTAACAAGTGGCATATATCCAAAGAATGCAAGGTTAGCTTAATATCCAAGTCAAGGTAAAATTCATAGTACTAACAAACTAAAAAACAAGCAAAAATAAACATATATCATCATCATTTCAATGCAAAAAAGTATTTGGCAAAATACAATATCCATTCCTGGAAAAGAAATAAAAAATCTACATGCAAATTAGAAAGAGAAGGAAACTGCTTCAATCTTCTGAAAGGTCTGAAAAACCTATTACTAACATCATACTTAATGGTGAAAAACTGGATGCTTTCCCTTGAAGTTCAAGAAAAAAGCAAAAATATTGACTTTTACTACTTTCATTCAATATAGTTCTGATAATTCTAGCCAATGCAATGACATAAGTACAAGAAATAAGAGACATCAAGATTGAAAAGGAAAATGTAAAACTTCCTTTAATACATATTTATGTAAAAGAAATATTTTAAACCTATTAGAATTATAAATGAGATTAGCAAAATTTATTGCAGATCAATATATAAAAATCAATTTTATATCCATATTTTAACAAAAATTAAAAATTCAGACATTGTAATTAATTAAATACTCCATTTATGTCACATAAAAAGTATAAAAACTTGGTTTTGATCTTGCAAAATCAATTACATGACATATACTAAAAACCAAAAAATAAATCAAATCGCCTAGAAAAATCCACAATTTAAAAATTTGGAGAGGTGAACAATTTTCATAGATCAGTACACTCAACATTACTATCTCAACTTTTCCCAAACTAACATATGTATTTAATACAATTTCAATTAGAATCCCAGGTATTTGTTTTTAGAAACTGACATGGTAATTCTAAAGTTATACAGAAATCAAAAAATCTAGTAAAACCAAAACACATTTTATTTTTTTAGAGAAATTTTTACTGTGAGGCTTGTGCACTCACTGTAGAGACAGAGACAAAGAGACAGAAAGTGAGAAATCACCTGCTGGCGGGATTGCCATCCCACAATCCCTTCCTCCATTCTCCTCTTTGGATTTTGGGCCCGCCTGCGCATGCACCCATCCCGGGTCTGGGACTCGAATTGCAGTCAGTTATGTTGGAGTGCAGTGACATAAACATTACACCATTTGCTGGTTCCTCCGAAACACATTTTTAAGAAAGAACAAAATTAGAGGACAAATGCTATTTGATTTCTAGTCTTCTTAGATTACTATAATAATCAAGAGATTGTGAAATTTTACAATAATCAATAAAGTGTGGTAATGACATAAATGCAAACATTTCAATGAAACAGTGTAAAGAATTAGGAAATAAGTTCATGCATATATAGACCACTGATGTTTTGCCAAAAGACCAAAGATAATTAAATAGATAAAAGATAGCTTTTCAGAAATGTTATAAGAATAATTGGAAACTCTCTGTGCAAAAACATTGAACTTAAATTCATATGCCAATGTTAGGCAAAATTAATTTATATTAGATCTAATTTTCAAGAGCCATAAATATAAAACTTTAAGCTTTAAAACTTCTAGAAGAAAACAATTAAAATTGTGTGACATTGGATTAGGCAGCTTAGATATGACACCATAAGGCTATATATATATATATATATATACACACACATATATAAATATATTTGCCATATGTATATATATTGATGAACTGTACTGTAGCTAAATTAAATTTTTCTGTTCTTTAATATTCACTATTAAGAGAACACAAAAACTAGCTGAACTTGGAAAAATATTTGCATAGTACATATTTAATAGAATACTTGCTTAAGTAATAAATAAAGAATTCTCAAATATTGATGAAAAAACAAACAACCTCATGAAAACTGAGAAAGACTAAGATATACACATCAAGTAAGGACATGATAAAATACTTAATATCATTAGTTATTAGGAAAATATAAATTAAAATCACATTAAGCAGCCACTATTCACCAGTAAAATGGCTAAAATAAAAAAGATTGATGATACCAATGGTAAGCAAGTGTGTAAAGCAAATAGAATTGTTTTACATCATTGGAGGAGATACAAAATGATAAATCTCATTGGAAAACAATTTAGCAGTTTACTTTTTTTAAGTATATTCATTTACTTCTTCCATAAGAGTTTGACAGTCACCTCTAACAAAGTTTTCATGCCATGATCCACTCCTAGATCACAGGTACACCTGAGTGTGCCAATGCACTCAGGGAGTTTCTAGGACATTAACCCAGGGCTTTTCTTATAGGGATCTGTTGAGCTACTGATGCACCACCACTTGTCTGACTTGGACAGTTATTTTAAAAGTTACACATGCACATATCATATCATGATTCTGCTATTTCAAATTTATGTATTCACCAAAAAGAAATGAAAGTGGGACCAGCAGATGGTGTAATGGTTATATATCACTGGACTCCCATGTAGTTGACCTGGCTTGAGTCCCTTACCTAGTGACTTAAAACTCACACCGGGTACATGTGTGTGCATGCCCAAAATCCTGAAGGAAGTCTGAAGGAGAGGAATTGTTGTGTGGCCATCTACCCTAAGGGGTGATTTTGCACTTTGTTTCTCTCTTTCTCTCTCTCTCTATGTCTCTCTGGCAAGCGCATATGCCCTATGGCAAAACTCTCTCTTTAAAAAAAAAAAAGAAAGAAGAAATGAAAGCATATATCCCTATATGAAGACTTGCACACAAATGTTCATTGTAGCTTTAATTTAAATATCAGTATCTATAACCAACCAAATATTCATCAAAATGTATAAAAATTATCAAACTGTGGGATACTACTCAGCAAGAAACATGAATACATCTTTAATATACCCAGTTACATGGATATATCTCTATGGAGATACATTGATAAAAAGAAGCCAGATTCAAAAGGGAATATACTGTGTGATTTAATTTACATATAATTCTCAAAAATGTCAATTAATCTATTTTGACAAGAAAAAGATCAGTGGTTGCTTGAAAACAGAAAGGGAAGGCAGGAATGAATTACAAAGTGATACTGAAAACTTTTACAGGTGACAGATATACTCATTATCTCGATTGTAGTGAAGGTCTCATGGTGTATACATGTCAAAATATCAAATTTATCAAATTTTATACTTGATGTGAATTTTACTGTATGTCAGTTATGCTTCAATATGGCTTTAAAAAAGAAAGCAAGAATATAGATAAGTGATCAAGGCAGATTAAAATTCTGAATTAATTATCATGTGGGATGAAACTTGCATCAGATTAAAATATATATTTAATGTACAATTATTATTATTATTCCTTGCACAGGGGCCATGCTAATCTTCTCTGTATCGTTCCAATTTTAGTATATGTGCTGCTGAAGTGAGCATGCAATTATTATTATTATTAAATATTTTACCTTGAGCACATGAACTCAGCAGAAAAAGAGTGTGCAAAAGTATCCCCATGAGGTCTAATCACACTCCAATCTCTTCTGTATTTCTCCTTTTGGGATTTTGGGCACACAAATGCCTGACATGTTTTTCAAGCCCCTGGGCTTTGACTTGAATAGCCCCACCAGCCATGTGGGCTCCAACTGGTTGGATATAAAATTACTATATAATTATTTAATGTACAATTAAATAAAATGTTTAATGTACAATTACTTAAAACAATGAGATGTATCAAATTTGGGCATTGGCCCAGCCACCGTGGCATGTGCAAATGGGATGCTTTGCTCTCCAGGTAGTGACCATGTTGGAAGCCTGGCTGATTCTAGTTCCATTCCAGGTTTGATTCTTGGCAAGGTGGCCTACACCTGTAATCCCAGTGTCTCCAGAGGCTGCATTGGGAGGATCATAAAGGTAAGAACTGTCTTTAAAAAAATTTTTAAAAAAAGAACAGAAAAGAGAAAACTATTACAAAGACACACAGAAATCTCAAAGGTTATCTATGTTTAATATTGACCCAAATTTTCTCTGAGTACAAAGTAAAATTGAAAATGCTTAATGAAAAGACAAAAAACATTAAAACTACCTTTCATACAATTTTTACAATCCTAAAGTTTACAAACCTATCATGTGCCAGGAATTGTGGTGACTTAATTGTCTTTAAGTCTTCTCTGCTGCATTAAGGTGTCTAATAAAATTGTAAAATACTTACTATTAACTTGATAAATATTTGAAAGTTGATAAACATTCTTTGATTATCTTTCAACATTATAATTGTCTACGTCCACTATTACTAATCTGTTTTCTTCATCCAAGAAGAAAATTGAGATACCAGAGGAGTTTTCCAAGTCTGTTTACTGAGTCACATGAACTAAAATTACTGTAAGATTTTGAAGGTAATTATCCATTTTTCTATTACCTCTCCAGGTAGTGACCATGTTGGAAGCCTGGCTGATTCTAGTTCCATTCCAGGTTTGATTCTTGGCAAGGTGGCCTACACCTGTAATCCCAGTGTCTCCAGAGGCTGCATTGGGAGGATCATAAAGGTAAGAACTGTCTTTAAAAAAATTTTTAAAAAAAGAACAGAAAAGAGAAAACTATTACAAAGACACACAGAAATCTCAAAGGTTATCTATGTTTAATATTGACCCAAATTTTCTCTGAGTACAAAGTAAAATTGAAAATGCTTAATGAAAAGACAAAAAACATTAAAACTACCTTTCATACAATTTTTACAATCCTAAAGTTTACAAACCTATCATGTGCCAGGAATTGTGGTGACTTAATTGTCTTTAAGTCTTCTCTGCTGCATTAAGGTGTCTAATAAAATTGTAAAATACTTACTATTAACTTGATAAATATTTGAAAGTTGATAAACATTCTTTGATTATCTTTCAACATTATAATTGTCTACGTCCACTATTACTAATCTGTTTTCTTCATCCAAGAAGAAAATTGAGATACCAGAGGAGTTTTCCAAGTCTGTTTACTGAGTCACATGAACTAAAATTACTGTAAGATTTTGAAGGTACAGACAATTATCCATTTTTCTATTATTTTTATTTTATTTATCACAAACAGGAAACTTTCTTAGTTGATCAAAAATATTTTGTTATTGTCATAAAGACTGCTGGGAGAGAATTTTAGAGCTGTCTGTTCTAGAAAAGTTGAAAACATAAAATATTTCACAATGACATTTTGTGTTACATAAACTTCCCCACACAAATTGTAGTTATTGTTGAGTTCCCATGGACTTTTTGTATACCTACATATCAGCAACTCACTTCCAACATTTACTGGGGAAAAAAACACTTAAACATGTTATTTAAAATTCTGAAAGAAAAACTCAGAAGTTGGCATTCATAGCATTGAAAAAGTACACAAGGCTTATGTTTTCCTTTTTCAAATTCTCATTCACAAAAGATTTTTCAAGCACCACCTATGCTGTCCCTGAAACTTCACTGGCATTACGGCAGATAGGAAAAAAACATAAAACAGTTGTCTTTGCCCTTACCAACTTTCTAGCTGGAGAAATAAAAAAAAAAAAAAAACATGAAAAAGCAAGAAGGAAAAAAGTAACTCCATCTAGTAGTTAGATGGTCTTCAGTGAAAAAATGCAATCCCATGATCCAGAGCTGACTAAAGTTGGGGGTGGTTTGAGACAAACCCTATTGGTAGTGTCTCTGTTTCACTTTCTGTCTCTGTGACTCATGAAAGAATGAACAAAATTTTAAAACGAAGGATAAAAATAATAGCATCTACATCTAATACATTTTATTCAAAGAGAAGTTTCAATTGGTTCTAAAACCATCCTTTAAATGTTGAGACTTAAGATTAGATTGTAAAGAGGAAGAAGACATCCCCAATGAGGAGCAAGTACGAGGAAGAGAACAATAGATGGGATGATGAAAAACAAAAAAATAAAAAACAAAAACCTGTCATCACAGAACTGTTGTAGTATGTTGGAGGTGGTAGTCGATACAGTCTTATGCTGTAGATGCAACATTTCATGAAATAATTTGAAGCACAAAGCACAGAAATAAAACTTGATAAAATGGTATTGGGGAGTTTTCAAGGGTTCTTTTGTAGGGGAGTTCTTTTGCATAATAAAATTAGCAACTACTGTCATTCACCTAATATCCATTCTTTCCATTGTTTTTAAGAGATCCAAAAATGTGTTGGGACTAACAAAGGTTCATAACCAAGAATATTGCATTCTCTACTCCCTCATAGATAAAGGTGTTATTGAAATGAAGGCAGATGCTTGAGGATCTTCTATATTGCCAAAGGTCAGACCTCAGTTTATAGTCAGAGTTGTAAACTGTTGTTAGAGCACATGAGAAGAGTCCAACTAAAACACTTATTGTGACCAGTATTTGAGGGCTGCAGAAAGACAAGGAAGCCCATGGAGGAATAAATTAGAAATGTGTGTAGAGAGAGACTAAGAATGACAGACACTGGTGTCACAAAAGCTAGAGTGGGAGAGTGTGTCCAGGAGTGACAGTGTCAAGTATTTAGAGTGGTCATAAGGACCAGGAAACATTAGACCTCCCCAAATTCTACCCAAGACAAAAAGATATCCATGTTGACCTGTAAGATTAAGCCATCTAGGTTTACAGAATAAATACAATTTTTATATTAATTAATCAATTTATAAGAAGTGTGGTATTATCTGTTGAAGATATTTTGTAGTTTTATCAGATGTACTAGAGAGAAATGTTCACCTGTTGAAATATCCATTTTGTAAGCCAAATAATAATGTGATTGAATGTATAAAAATATGAAATGAAAAAATGAAAATAAATAAATAAACATGGACTTCATAACAAAGGTAATAGGTGAATATCATACCAGGAACTGGTTACGTCACTGTAGAGAAATATTGAGGGTAAGCAAAGACTTGCCCTTACGTTTCAGATTTTGAGAACTCAACAGGTCTTCTAGTAGCATGAGAGAGATGTTTGCTACCCAGATGTGGTTGGCAATTCTATGTGATATACATTTTTGGGTACCCATTCTGGATAGAAACCTATTTTAGAAACTGTGGCTGTTGATAATAGCAAGATCACTTTAATTTATACCTAGGAATGTACCATCAAGGATTTATATATAAAAGTTTATACAAAATATGAGTAACTACTATATTAGAGGAGAGTACAAAATACGATGTTCATTCACATATCCCTATAAATATATACATAACTTTTTATTGAGAGAGTTTTTTGCTATGCAGCATATTCTTACTAGAGAGGTAGAAAGAGACAGAAAGTGAGAAATCAATCCCTCTTCAGGGGGTGGTGGTCCACGCTGCAATTCCTTCTCCTCCATTCTCCTCTCTGGATTTGGGCATGCACTCACACATATCTTGTGTGTTTTAAACCATTGGGTCCAGGAATAAAACAGCAGTTGACTATGTGGTAATCTAGCAACATAATCATTATGCCATCTGCAGGGCCCATAAATATATATATGTACAATGGATATACAGCTATTTGTATTTGCTGAAACATATGCAGATTTTTCCCTAAAATGTATTCTGACATAGATACATAAATAGCTCATAATTGTATATGTACTTATGGAAAAGGTAAAAATGCATGATTTGTATATAAGTCATTACAGAGAATTCTAGATATTCTCAGAGTTAGGTTTGAGAAAGTATTCATAACAGCTGTTATATTTGAAAAGTATAGAAGCTTATTAAATAAAGAGATTTGTGGTAAAATGAGAAAAATAGAAAATCCATGTGAAATATTGGCATATTTGTCTCACCTTAAGTTTGAAAGAGCATGGAATCTTGAATACTAGCTTTTGGAAATTCAAATAGAATATCATTTCTTTTTGAATCTGCTACCAGCCTGTGTTAAGATGGTATTGGGGAGTTTTTCGGAGGGTTCCTTTGTAGAAGAGTTGTTTTGCATAACAAAGTTAGCAACTACAGTCATTCACCTAATATCCATTCCTTCCATCATTTTTAAGAGATCTAAAAATCTGTTGGGAATAACAAAGTTTCACAACCAAGAATATTACATTCTCCACTCCCTTATAGATAAAGGTGGTGATATGACTCATTTCCAGGTATTGAAATGAAGGCAGATGCTTGAGAATCTTCTTTGTTAATCTGTGTTAATCTTTGGGCACAATTCTTAAATGCCAAGGGAATACACATTTTTTTTCACATTTTTTATAAAGTAATTTGGACTACTAATTTACTGAGATTGTTTTATAGGGAAGTATGGCCAATTTAAAAAAGTAATATTTAACATTAGTTCAAACATTTATTTTGTCCATTTAGCTTAATCCTGGTAAATGTTTTGATTTTTTAAATGTGTATTTATGTATATCTGTGTAAATATATTGATGTATGCATTTGTGTGTGATTTTTTTTCTGTGTGTATGTGTGTGTTTTTGTATATATATATATATATATATATATATATACACATACATATGTATCTGGACTGAGAAGTTTATAATAATTGATACTTTAGAATTGATACAGGACCAGAAGATGGCATAGCAGTTACAATGCTGGACTCCCACATGGCTGACCACTATTTGAGTCCTGGATCTGGTGTCTTGAAAATCATACCCAGGCATGCATGGAGAAGGGATTATGGTGTGGCCAACCATCCTGGGGAGTGATTTCTCACATTCTCTCTCACTGTCTCTATCTCTCTGTCTCTCCAGAGAGCACATGTGCCCTAAGGCAAAAAAATTCTCAAAAATTTTTAAAAAAAGGTAGTAGTTGGTACACTCAGATGCTGAGTGCAGTGGTGTTTCTAATGGCATTAAATAAATTAGGAACTGCTCTCAGTCCAGTATAAATACCATACAGAACATGACATTTTGAATCCATGCATGAATATGAAGCAGCTTCCTGCTAGTTAATAGGCAACCTATTCTGAATAAATA